GCCTTGGAACTCACTCTGTAGACTAGGCTGGCCTCAATCTCACAGAGATCTGCCTGCCTCTGCCTCCCCAGTACTGGAACCAGAGGCATGATGAACCACTATGCACAGCTTAAATATTTAAATATACTTTTAAAATGTATTATGTATTATGTTTGTGTGTGGAGGTCAGAGAACAGCTTGAGGGAGTCAGTTTTCTCCTTCTATCACGTGGGTCCCAGGGATTGAGCTCAGGTTGTCAGGCTTGGTGGCCAGTGTCTTTACCCATTGAGTCATCTCACTACCCACCCCCAATATAGTTTTGACTTGTGTTGGTTGAATTCTTAGATGCAGGATCCACAGATATGGAGGGCCAACAGCACTTTGTCTTTTCTTGTGGGCCTAATTTTCCCACTCCCTACCATTTCTGGAACCCTCATCACCCTGCTCTAGCCTTCTGTACCCTCAATCAAAAGACTTTCACCATATTTTCTATTTTTTTTAATATTTTATTTATTATTTTTATTTTATGTGTTTGAATGTATTGCCTGCATGTATGTGAGTGCACCCGTGTCATGCAATGCCATGGAGGTCAGAAGAGGGCTTCAGATTCCCCTGCAACTGGAGTTAAGGACGGTTTGTAGCCACCATGTGGGTGCTGGGAATTGAACCCGGGTCCTTTGCAAGGGCAGTCAGTGCTCTTAACTGCTGAGCCATCTCTCCAGTCCCTCACTATATTTTCTTTTATTTCTAACCTTTCAGGGGGCAGGGTAGGGAGACAGGTCATGCTGGGGATTAAACCCTTGCACATGCTAGGCAAGAATTCTACTGCTGAGCCCCAGCCCCAGTCATACTCCTTCTCTTTGGCCCCCAATTCTTTGATACCTAAATATACTTAATTTCTCTCAGAAATCCTTTCATCCCTTTCTCTTCCTGTCCATTCTTGAACATCTTTTCCTTTATTAAAAAAGTAATAAACCTTGTTCTCCTCATGCAATAATCGTGAGAGACAAACATTATATTTAACTCAGTCTCTCTCTCTCTCTCTCTCTCTCTCTCTCTCTCTCTCTCCAGAGAATTGATTTTCCTTTTATTTTTGAGATATGATCTCACTTTGCAGCCCAAACTAGTCTAGAACTTGAGCTCCTCTCACAGCCTCCTAAGTGCTGGGATCATGGTAAGTGGAACCACACTGATTTCCTTCTTTAAACTTTACAGTACAGCACATCCTAAATTCATGGAAGAAGGTCAAGAAGTGTTTACTTCTCTTTACTCCCCCCATAAGGAGTCCCTGAGAGCTAGAGAATCATAATAAAATAGCAGCAATAAAGATGGTCAGTTTTTGGTTGATAGGTTGGTTGGTTGGTTGATTGGGTTTTTAACTGTGCTGGAGATCAAACCCAGGAGAGACCTCACACATGCTAGGCACTTAGATTAATAGGTTTCGAAGCAACCAGGATCTACCTTGTCACTGTATCACACAGGGCATCTTTCACATAGTAGAATGTGAATAACTTATTTTTCATGGAGTGTGTGCTGCCTCTCAGGGCTCCTGTTAGCCTTTTGGAGCGTGGCTCTCACCTCTAAAGTAGATGGTCAGGCAGGGTTTGGGTGAAGGGCTCAAGGGTGGGTTAATCTTGGCCGACTGCACAACAAGTCGCAGCATCTTGGACCTACTTCCTCCCCTCCTTCCCTCTGCAGTGCAACTGCTTCCTCTGTGAAGCTCCTTGGTCCAAGGTTTCTCCCACGGTGAGGGTGGAGCTTAGCAACAGAAGGGTGTCACAGAGATGAGTGGGTTCTTGGTTCCGGAGAGAATCTCCAGAAGGGAGGAGAGACCAGTGACTGAGTGGGTGTGAAGTGAATGGGTCAAAGTGACTAGGCCTTCACAAACAAAAGGGCCTCCTTACTGCCTTGACAGCTGGTCTTTTTTCTCCTGCTGCTGTTCTTTTGAGCTCAACATCAGGCATAGAATTCTGTCTTTTCTTGTCTAGTATGATTTACTGGTAGAGTCACACAATTTAGATGAGATGAGAAAATAAGTGAAGCCACCAAAAAAAATATAAATATGTATGTATATATGTATGTATATGTACATATATATGTATGTATATAGTCAGGCATGGTGGCACATGCCTTTAATCCCAGCACTCAGGAGGCAGAGGCAGGTAGATCTCTGTGAGATTGAGTCCAGCCTGGTCTACATAGTGAGTTCCAGGTCAGTTGGTGCTAAGAGAGATACTGTCTCAAAATAATAAATAATTAATTAATAGAAAAAAATGCCAGGGATGGCAGTGCATGCCTTTAATCCTAGCACTCAAGAGGTAAAGGCAGGTGGGTCTTTGTGAGCTCAAGGCCAGTCTGGTCTACATAGGGTGTTCTAGGGGGTTCATAGTGGGTTCAAGGCCAGCTAGGGCTACATAGTGAGACACTGTCTTAAATACATAGATATATATATGGAAATCAGTGAGGTCTCAAGGGAAGTTCTTCCTAATGGGGAAGCAAAACATTTGGTTTCTTTTCTGTTTGTCTGTTTGCTTACTTGTTTTTTTATTTTTTGGGATAGGATCTCATGTAGCCCAGGCTGGCCTTAAACCCACTATGTAGCTGAGGCTGTCTTGAACTCCTGAGTCTCTTGCCTCTGATTATATATATATATATATATATATATATACACACATACATATATATATATATATATTGGTCTTTTTGAGACAGGGTCTCCCTATAGCCCCAGCTGGCCTGGAACTCACTATGTAGACCAGGCTGGCCTTGAACTCAGAGATCTGCCTGCCTCTGACTCCCGAGTGCTGGGATTAAAGGTGTGTGCCACCACTCCCGGCTTGATTTTATATTTTGATTTTATAATTATTAATGCTGAGAATGCCACTTCATATAAAGACATACCACAAAAAATGGCAAAAGTAGGTTTAGGGCTATTTCAGAAGTTATTGGAAATTCTATCCTAATCTCAAGCTAAAATTCATTTAGTGATTTTTTTTTTTATGAAACTCAAGTTAGCAACTCAAAAACAATTTTTAAAATCAAACATTCTAACAGAATACAAAGATATACTAATTTGATACATGCTAAGGGAAGATGGTAGGAAAATACTAAAAGTTTTTGTTTTCTATAATGTAACTATTATGTTCCTATAAGAGCAAAAAACTTATCTACAGGAAAAACACTGCAGTTCTTTGAGTCAGAGCCTGACATGCTTTAGACAGCATTTATTGGCATTGCATGATATGATGGCAGGTCCCATACTAAAGTGCACATGCTGTGTGCTAAGAACCAAGGCTGCAGTCACACATGCCAATGGGGTGGGTACTGACAGAAACACTTGAATTATTATTTATTTTTATTTTATATATCAGTTTTATGCATATATGTAAGTGTGCCTACATATGCGATGTCCAAGGATGCCAGAAGAGAGCATTGGGTCCCCTGGAACTGGAGTTACAGATGGTTAGCCTCCATATGGATGCTAGGAACTGAACCTGGGTCCTCTGCAAGAGCAGTCAGTGCACTTAGGCACTGAGCCATCTCTAGCCCCCTGAATTAATTTTTGATATTACACATTTAGAAGTTGCCTAACTTTTCTGACCCTTCACATTCACTTATACAACCCTAAGTGGGATTACAACTGATAGATTAAGACTCTGGGTTCTATGTTAGCCAGTGCAGACATATAATCCCAGCACTTGGGAGGTAGAGGCAGGAAGATCAAAAGTTCAAGTTCAACCTTGGTGACATAGCTAGTTTGAGCCCATCTAGAATTCATGAGCCCCTGTCTCGTCATCCCCTCAATAAATAACTAACTAAATAAATAAATACATAAATACATAAATAAATAACACTGTGTTCTGAAGCATGGAGGTGGGTTAGCTAATGGTAATTGCCATTATGAAACCTGAGTTATTGATAGATAACTGCATCACCCCACCGCATTCCCCAGGTAACCTAGTGAGGTTAAGACTGCATACTTGCTCCAGGTGAGGGAGAGAAGGCTGAAACCTTGCTTGCTGGGTTGGTAGAGCCAAGCAGTTGAATGTTGACTCTCACATTCCATCTCCATCCTCAGTCTGAACTCTCCCAACTGCTTTCCCTTTCTTTCTTAAATTCCTGGGGCAGGGCCGTGGTATTGATTACCCCGTACAGGAACTAACACCACTCTGCAAAGCTCAGTCTCTCTCTCTCTCTCTCTCTCTCTCTCTCTCTCTCTCTCTCTCTCTCCCTCTCTCTCGCTCTCTCTCGCGCTCTCTCTCGCTCTCTCTCTCGCTCTCTCTCTCGCTCTCTCGCTCTCTCTCGCTCTCCTCGCTCCCTCATTGGCATACTTTGGGTTTTTGAGTTACAGTGTCACCACATAGCCCAGGTTGCCCTGGAACGCACAGTGAAGTCTGGATTGACCTTGAACTCATAGTGATCTTCCTGCCTTAGCTTCCTGCGAGCTAGAATTACAAGTATGCTCCACCATGTCCAGATAAGAGTAAATTCCTTTCCCCCCAGGGTACTGCAGATTGAACCTAGCGCTCTAATAAACAAATTTAAAAATTTTTTGATACCACATTTATTTATGTGTTGCTTGCATGTGTGTAAGTATACCAATGCGTGCAATGTCCACAGAGCCCAGAAGAGATCGAAGGAGTCCCTGACACTGGAGTCACAAACAGTTCTTAGTTGCCATGTGGGTGCTCTTAACCAGGGAGCCATCTCAACAGGCCCTAATGTGTAATTTTAAGTGTACCTATGTCGTGCAATGGACGCGGAAGACAAGAAGAATGAGGCTGTCAGATCCCCTGGGAGTGGAGCTACTACTACAAACAGCTGTTAACTGCCATGTAGGTGCTGGGATTCGAACCCGGGTCTTCAGCAAGAAGACTCAGTGCTCTTAACCGCTGAGCCATCTCTCAAGCTGTAACGATGGGAAAATTTAGAGACTCTTGGCCACCTCGCTTTGCCTATGGGGCGGACGGGCACAGGACAAAGAATCAATTTGGGTGAAGACGTGGAGCACTAAGGCTATCTGAACTGTCCTGGACTTTGTTCTCAAATTTCTTGCAGAAAATGCAGAGGGAAAACATTTCTGCTGGGAGACGTGCGGGCTTTGGGCGCTGCTCACTGGCTTCGGAAGTAGTGGAGCGGATTCTTCCCAGGCTTTGCAGCTCACCGCGCCTTCGTTCCCGTGATCCTCTTCCTCGTTTTCGTCCGAGCCAGCGGCGCCGAGCACGGAGGCGGTGACGCGCACGCGCACTGCGGTCCGGCCCGGGCGAGCGCGCGGCGGACAACTGCTGGTGAGACGCAGCTCGGCCCGAGTCCAGGCCGGGGTGGGGGCCGTGGGGTTCGCGGCTGCGGGCGGTGGCCTTCCGGCCGTCGGGGCTGCCTGGGCATGCGGGGCCTCAGGCCGTAGCCGCGGGCTGGGCCGG